TGAGTCCGCAAAGTACCGGTTTCGGAAATAACAGAGGTTATTCGTTTTCCAAACATCTACTGGCAATTATTTATTACTTATTTACTAGGTACATGCAAGCAAAGAAAATGAACTATTAGTAAAACAAAAAATTGCGTTACATGTGACGTTCAAAGTGTTTTGCTTCGATTTTCAAGCAGGCACAACGTCTTCGTTTGCAAAAAGTTAAGTTAAGAAAAAAAAATTAAAACGCCCTATTTCACTTGGATTTGTTAGCATTTTTTTATTCATTCATACTCCTCTATTCTATTTGAAGAAGTACAGTAGACTTGAAATTTATTATTAGTTACTGGATTGTATGGATAAGATAATAAAAATAGCAGGTGCACAAAGCTATTCTAAGTAAAACTCTTTAATCGATAAAATAGTGTTGTCTGACATAATGACATTCTGTATCATTTCTGATATTCATTAATAAAATATGTCTTAATTGGTATTTACAGGTTGTGGTGGTAACAGGAGGCAAACATTCTACTAATCCACCAAAAAGTGATGCTAGCAACTCGGATACAACAGTGGCTACATCCAACCAGATTAATAAAGGTAAGCTTTTTCTAGGCATGTTAATATTCAAATAGAAAGTTTTAGCGTTTATTTTAAATTTTTCTAACATTTGTTCAAATGCTCGCTTCCTTATGATATCTTGCTTAAGACGCAAGATGATTGAAATTGATTACTTTCGAATTTAGAAATTATTTTTTAACATTTTCTTAAAAATTAAGTAAATTAAAGTAAGGCAATTATGATGATTTGATTTATTATTTTAGTTTAAACACAAGTTACTTGCATTTACACATGCTGTGTTCCTAGTTGTTTGATAGTTTAATTTTATTAAGTAAGTTTTTTCTAATTCTCCAGATATCTTCACAAATATGTAGTACAAAATTTGCTCCATTTCTAATGATTGCTTACCGGGACTAAATGGAGAGTACAGAAAATATTTTTTATGTTTGATTTTATTTATTAGGGAACATTAGCTCTTAAACATGCGATTTCAACTTCAATGATTACTTTCACTTTCAATGGTTACGTGGAACACTATCGCTGGTATGCATAGTCGATCTTCGACAGTTTGCCGGAGATTGTTTTGGCGGACGGACGCGCGTGCCTCCGTCGGCCCGAAGGCGAGGGGTTTTTGATGCAGAGTTGTTCTTCGTTAGAAGGAATTGTCTGAGATTTTCCTATAGAATGAGCATCTGCAATATCGCTATTCTGGCGGCCCCCGCCATTCGCTTTTGTGGTGATATTATTCATTAGTTCGGCACTGCTTGCGGTTTGGTTAGCTCGTGAAGTCGTACTAAGAGAAAGCGCTTCCACTGCGTCTAGTTGCCTCGAAGTATAAGATATCTGTATAAATCGCAAAATAACATAATTTTTTCTAAGAAAAGACACGGTGAACGACAATTAACGTTGAGAAAATCAGCCATTTGAATCTGAAACTACTTTTCTAAACAGTAAGAAAATGTAATGCAATGATTTTTTTAATTTTTTTATTATTGACTCCTTTAATGTTCTGAGACAATAAGTAAAAAATGTTAACATAAGAAATAACATGTGAGTGTTCACTCATTAGTAAAGCACTCTTACAAGCATGATAACTTATTTACAAAACATTTAAATTGAGTGAACAATAGACTAGTTAAGTAATTCTAAAAATTTACAACAAGTTCCTGCGTTTCCGAATGTAATGCAATGATAACTTTATTTATTATTATTATTATTCATTTTATATACCTTCCTGACTGTGTGTCAATTCCAAATCAAATTCATTCCTGGGTTTCAGTCATTTATTGTCTCTATTTATCAATCAAAATACATTTCGGTGTATTTTTCCACCATCATCAGTTTTTATGTGTAGAGTTGTTGCTGCTTTAAGCCTTGGCATGCATTTTCAAAATGCATGCTATGATTTGGAATTATT